TGTCTGGAGGTCAGTAGACCCCTGAATGTCATGCAATGCATGATCATCATTACCATTATCGTGTACGTGTTCCATCATAAATGGAGAAATAACCCGATGTATATGTACACACATAATTCATGAGGTCCATATAGTTTTCATCTTTAAATCATTCTTATGACAAACCCCATACATCATTCACACATTACCATAGGTAACATGCAAACATTGACCTTCATACGTTTATTATCATTAACATCAACTAGGGTTGTGTCTTAGAAAACTCGTAGTCATAATGCATTATAGCATTTAATACATGCACAACATTTTAATTTGGAAAGTCCTCTCATCATCATACATCTTATGTCATCATATCATGTATATCATCACATCATTATATAATATCATCATATCATCATATAACGTCATCACATCATCATATAATGTAAAATATAAACGACACGTGACAGGGCCACTGGGCACATGTTGTCATACCTAAGACAAGTTTCTGACCAAGCCATAGTAAAGTCACTTACTTGATAGGCCTAGGCCGAAACTACTACGACTCCTTGATGTTAGCTTAAAGCTACTCTCTAAAATTTAATTCTGCCTAAGAATCCAATAATCATAAATTAGAATTATACTATGGGAATTGGGTTACCTAATTTTGCATACAATAATTTGAACTTATTCCCAAAAATTTAAACTAGCTAAGCTTAATTTTGCATAAAAATAATTTAACTATACTCCTAATAATTTAAACTAGTTAAGCATGATTATATCTAAATAATTTAAACTTCACTTAAAAATTTTAAATTAGCTAAAAGCAGTGATATTAATCTTAGACGCTCTCCAAAAGTTGAAATTAGAAGAAAATTAGAGTTCGAGCATAGTAAAAAAAAATGAATTCTTGGACTGGCTTTGAACGATTCCAATAAAATGAATTCCTAATTTTATTTTTGGGTTTATTACATAATTAGTCACATATGAAGTGATATTAAAGTTCATTTTGTGATATGAATTTACCAACTAGAGCCTCATAGCTCGAGTCAAAAAGGTTAATATATGGTATGACGATTACCTTTCATCACGATTTGAGTTGATATTGAGGTATACTCACATGTTCTTGAATTCCCAATAAAGGGTATTATATATGAATAATTGATGTAGAGGAAACTAAGAATAGCATGGAAAAAACTATATACAATCCACCACACCCTTAAACTTTGGAACAATTTTAAAACTCACCAAAACCATTCAATATTAATTACACCCACATGCATAACAGCCTGTTCAATTCCATATACAATTTATTCAAATCAATATGAAAACACTTCATATCTATGTATAGATCCTATACATATATTAATATATAATTTCAAATCACACCCTATACATCTGCTTTCTTTTCAAATAATAATAATAATAATTAGAAGATGTGTCTCCTGTTCATGGGCTCTTGGCTCTACCATTTTCTTACGACATAGTCATGTTATTCATTCCTCACTTTTAAGAGCGAAGACTATCCTCATAGATTAACATGGATCCTAGCATGCGTTGTTCCATATATAGGATTGTTTTAAGGTGATTGAGCTATTGAAAAGGTGGGTGTACCTAGTAATTTTCGATTCTTTTAAAGGTTTTCTTAATCATTCTATCGTCAAAGATGTGATCTGGGTTCATTCATGTACCCCTCGGGATGTCGCAATTATAAATTATAAATAAAATGTCGAAGGAATGAATATATATGGTCTGTTGGAGAAGTGTGAGCTGTGATACATCCATAGACCAAACAGTGGGTTGAAGACCCTAATGGAGTAGACCGGTGGAAGGTAGTGGTGGGGGAGAGCTTCTTCAGCTCTTCTGTGAACAACAAAATCAGAATCCTTGAAATGGGCATTTCTCTATTGGCACGTTGACTCAAATGAAGACAAACAAAAGAAAGAAAGGAAAATAAAAAAGATAAGAGACAACCTTGTTTGAGGCATTTCTTCAAACACCTTACCTGCATTGCCCAAACAAACAAAGGAGTTAGGTTGGTCGATGGTGCTGCCTCGGCCACCGCCCGGCATGGCACGGCAGCCCGCTCGCCCATGCAATGCATTTGAACTCAAATTTTGTCATTGATTAATTAGGGTTTGAAAAATATGTGTGATTTTTGTGATGTTCATGCACGCACCGCCTATTTAGGGTTTCTTCTATTGAGTGTGATGGGAGTTGGAATTTTAATCAAATCAATATTTAAGGTTATCGTGTAAACACATTTGAAAACACAATTTTAAGGTCAAATTAGAGTGTCAAACGTACGTTCATACATTTAAATATTTATTATTATTCCTTTTAGACAGTACACTGTACACCGGTTTGGTTGAAAAATCCTTTGGACCAACCTAAAAGTTTGGGTCCATTCCGTTTGACTCGATCAATCTTAATAAAGTTCACAACCTAACCCTCTATTTTCGGGTTGGATTGAGTTAGGTTGTCTGTTTTTTTTTTCTTTCTTTTTTTTCAATAATTATTTTTAAAAAACCTACTTATTCACCTGCATGTTACATTAATAACTAAAATATCAGACATTCATAAGTCACAGCCATCGGTAACAAAAATATGTCAACGTTCAAAATCATCTTAAAACTAGGATAGGATTGGATTGAGTTTTAACTCTATTTTTTTTGTCAACTATGGAGGAGCTAAATATTGTTTATAAGGGTGTGAAAATCTCTCTCTACTACAAGTGTTTTAAAAACCTTAAGATAAAACCCAAAAAGAAAAGCCCAAAGTGGACATACGAACACTCCAAACTCTCTTAAATAGTGAACATAGCGAACATTTGATCGTGTATACCAACCATAATGTAAGTTTAATTAAGACATTATATACCACTTCAATTGTTTTCCATTATTCAATTATATTAGAAGGTTTATAATTTTTGCATGATTGTGAATTAAGAGTAATAATTTTGTGACATTAATTAAATGATATAATATATGCACACAAAAAACGTCATAGAAGACGAAGAACAAAAGAAATTAATTAGAAGAAGAAATTGAGGTTAATTTAAAGAGTAGTTTCAACTACAAGTTGAAGAAAAGTGATCGGAAAGCTTGACTAATTGGTTACATAAACGTGCTTAAGGGAGTTAGTACCATAATTCTTTAATGCCTTTTACCATATCAACTATACTATTTTTACTTTTTTTTTAAATGCTAATTGATTAAGTTTTTAATTAAAGTTCCAAAATGTCGACATACAAATTAATATTCATTGTAACCGCTCAAGTCTACTGATAGTAAATATTGTTTATTTTAGCTCGTTACGTAATGTCGTTAGCCTCACGATTTTAAAATGTGTTTATTAGGGAGAGGTTTTCACACTCCGGTAAGGAATGTGTCATGCCCAAAACGGGTTTTGAAATCTGAATTTGGTACCTATGTATCTTGGCATTCTTCTACATCACTTACGATATGGTCACATTACTTACTTCTCGCTTCTAAAAGTGAAAATTATCTCCCCTAACCAACAATTGTTGCACGCCCAGAATTCGGATTAGGATTTGAAAACTATCCCCACCCGCTAGTACATACCTTTTCCGCATGATTTGTCCTCACTAACGTACATCTTAAGACATAAAACTACTCCAAGCAAAACACGCGTAAATTATGTTGCCACAAGTAGTAAGTTTCAGTTCTTTTAAGTTTTTCTTAACCATTATATCCTTAGGACCACTCACTTTCGAATGTAGTCTCGGTTCATTCATGTACCCTCCTTTACTCAATCATGAAAGGAGACAGCAACGTCGTGGTCAACATGTTCACACCCAATGAATTGCCAGTTGGGTCTAGGTATTTGTTTATTAGGTTTTAGATTTTGTATTTGTATCAAGAAAAATATGGTTTGTTTGTTTTTTATTTGGTACATATATCTTCAACCCTTTGACCAAAAGATTACCCAAATTATTTTATACAACCTTGTCTCTTTTTGTTTTTGTTTTTGTATGTACATTCATTTTTAAAAATATTCCAATCACATCAAAACATTTTCAATTATTATTATTATTATTTACGTTACATATTTAACAGATATGTGTCGATCTCTCAAGCCTGTTTTTAATTACAAAAATTTTATTTTAAGTAACGGTTCCAATTATTATACGTGCAGAAAATTAGATCAACATATCAGAGACTCAAATATCTTCACTGATCAAACTTACAAAATAAGCAAACTCCACTGGTTTCCTTCACTGTTTTCTGTGTACCAATTATATAATATACGTGACTCCTGAGTAAAGGAGCAGTACATGAACAAATCGACACCATATTCAAATGACAATGATTTTGAGAATAGGATAGCTAAGAAAGATTTCAAAGAATTGAAAGTTATTATCCATACCAACAAAATACACTTTCCATTTTCGATGGCTTGGATGACCTCCTGAAAATTTTTCTTGGGTACATGTGAATGAGGACAAAACACATTGAAAAAACACGTATTAGGCTGTGGGAATAAGTAAGAAGTGCCGAGTACGGAGATACCAAACCTAAATTTTGAATATGAGACACGTGACGTCACATTACACAAATATTATAAATCTTTTATAAACGAAAGTAATCATAAGTATCTTTTTACATAGGGTAGTTTGCATATTGAATACATCATAAATTCACATGATATATATATGAAGGAACACAAAAGTAGCATTGTCTTTATCTCTTTATTCTCAATATTTAAAAAAAAATTAAAAAAAAAATTAAAAAAAGATAAAAAGCAAAAAAGAAATCAACTTTCTCATCTATTGATTTGTGAGAGAATATTCTCATCTAAATAAAGTAATTTATTTATAAATTTATGGGATAATTTAACCAAATTAACTTAATTAGACCCTAATGACAAAATATTAAATTAATTAAGCATGATGATATATTGAAAATTCAATTATTTTGAAAACCCTAAAAATAAAAATTAAAAAAAAAAAAGAATAAAATCTAATTGTGAGATCTGTTGTGTAATTGAAAAAAAAAAAAAAAGATGAACAATAATAATGCTGTGGTTTCACGTGTAGGCTAAGTGTGGTAGCAATTCCCTAACTTTAAAGCCTTCATTTTGATTCCAAAACGCACACCCATTGCTGCCATGGCTCTTGAGGCTGTTGTTTTCCATCAGCACCCATTTGGCAACAACGACAACAGCAACAATGATCTCTTCAATTTGGTCTCTTCTTCGGCTCCCTTCACCTTCACCCATGATGAACACCACCATGATCTTTACTTTCTCACCAACCAAACACTCAATGGTGGTGGCGGCGGAGGGAGTGGGCGGCCGGCGAGGCGGCGGCGGGGAGGGAGAACCCAAAAGAATAAACAGGAAATAGAGAATCAAAGAATCACTCATATTACTGTGGAGAGGAACCGGAGAAAGCAAATGAATGAGTATCTCTCTGTTCTTCGATCATTGATGCCTCACTCCTACCTCCAAAGGGTATCATCCTCTCTTTCTCTCTCCTCCTTTTCTCTTTCTCTCTCCTCTTATTACTACCACAAACTCATCAAATTTTAAAATTAAAAAAAAAAGGTCTCTTCACTTTGCAAAAACAAAATGGCCCATCTCTCTCTCTCCCTCTTCTTTCTCAGTAAGAACACGACTCTCGAGAGCCTTGCTTTAGGCTTCTCTAAAAAGCCTCGTATCAATAGAGAGAATATTTTTTGATTATAAATCCATGATCGTTTTCTAAATTAGTCGACGTGGGACTTTCATACGAGCGGTATTACATGATTGTGTGTATCGAGGGTGTGGCTCCATGATTAGTAGGCTTATTCTTCCTTACTTTGCTCTGCCTTTGATGCTTCCGTAGACAATAAAGAAAGAAATTAAAAAAGAAAAGGTGTGTCTTTTTTTGTGTGTTTCACTTCAATTATAGCAAAGAGGGTTTGGCACAAAAGGGAAAAAAGAAAGAAAGAAAGAACGAAAGAAAGAAAGAAAGAAAGAAAGAAACGGTGGGCTAAAAACATGATAGGCAGGAAGAGCAGGCGCACAAACCCATGGGGGGTTTTGATATGTAATGATACAAAGAATGAAGAATTAATGGTTGGTTGTGTTTTGATTACTGGTGGCAGGGCGACCAAGCCTCAATCATAGGCGGAGCCATCGACTTTGTGAAGCAGCTTGAGCAGCAAGTACATTTGCTTACCAGCGCTCAAACATATGTAAACCCCTGTTTTCCCCCTCAAAATGCACCAATCTCTCATTTCTTTACCTGCCCTCACCTCTCCTCTGCTGCTGCTGCTGCTTCCTCCTCCTCCCCCCCCATGTCTTCCAACCAGATTCACTCCCCCATTGCCCACGTCCATGTCTCCATGGCTGACTCCCATGCAAACCTCAAGATTAGGTGTACAAAGTTCCCTAAACAGCTTCTTAAGATCGTCTCTGCTTTGCATTCCTTGCGCCTCTCTGTTCTTCATCTCAATCTCTCCACTGCCCACCAAACTGTGCTCTATTCATTCAGTCTCAAGGTTGGTGTTCTTCTTATTATTCCCCATTTCATCCTTTTTTTTTTTTTTTTTAATTCAATTTTAAGATGGGTTTTTGTTTTTCTTTAGGTTGAGGAAGATTGTGGGCTCTCTTCGGAGGATGAAATTGCTAGAGCTGTGTATCAGTTGGTTTGCAGAATTCAAGAAGAGGCCTTCTCCGTTTCAGATATCATAAACTAAATTAGCATTTTTAATTCAACTTTGAGATCGTTCTTGTTCTTGTTCTGTTCTTTCTTTTTTTCTCTCTCGATCTAAATTTTGGTCCCTTAATTATGTTCTTTGTGTTTCATTAATTACTTTTAGGCTCTGTCATCATAACTTCCCCTAATCATCTTAGTCTCAACCTATTCACATCTAACAATTCACTCCACTCCTTCCTTTCTCCGATTAACATGGGACCCCACCAAATTTACACCTTCATGACTTAACGTTCTCACTGGCACACCGTCATCTTGTGTCTGGAATAGCCTCCTCGATGACATATCACGCAATGTCCAGCTCTGATACCATTTGTAACGGTCTAAGCACACAACTAATAAATATTGTCCTCCTTGAACTTTCACTTTTAGGATTTTCGTCAAGGTTTTTAAAATGCGTCTGCTATGTCGAGGTTTCCACACCCTTATAAAGAACGTTTCGTTTTCCCCCTCAACCGACGTGGGATCTAACACAAAAAAATTTTAATACGTCACACGCATAGGTTTTCATTACTCTTCAAAAAAAAAAAAAAAAAAA